ACAAAATGAAAAATATCCTAATTTAGCAACATTACAAAATAAACGAACATTAGGTTATTTAATGAATGTTAAATATAATAATATTAATGATGAGAAAACAATGAGTGATGAATGCTGGAATGAATTAGTTGGAGTAAATAAATAAATAAATAAAAAGCAAATACTCATTTATGAAATTTTATTATTTAAGGATATTGTACAAGACAATGATGATTTATCAGAATATTTAATTGAAATATTAGCCGATAGAGATGATATTGTTGCTGTGAAATATTGGAGTAAAAATGTTATTGTTATTTTTTGTTGTATAAAATCGTTTTTTCTGTTTTAGTGGCTCAATTGGATCGACCTTATTATGCATTACCGGCTTGGGTGTGTATGATCATTTGAGAGAAATAACGAGATTTACATGTTAAAATGAAACAACAAATTTACTTCTGTAAAATTGAATTAAAAAGAGAGAGTGAGAGATGCTGATTAAAACATCTTGTTGATACGTATAAGGGATTGTGTTGAAGAGTAAGATCATCGGATCAGAACATGTTTCCAATTTATTCTAGAGTGTCTGAAACGTCGTATATCACAAAAAAGAATCTAAAGCTTCACTATATTTGTAACGAAATGAGAGCTTCCTCAAACAAAAAGTAGTTTAGTAATATCGCTTAAAACTATTATTATGTAATTGCAAGAGAAAAATTGTCGTTTTTTTGTAATATGATTCGAATTCCTCACGTTTCTGCGAAAATAGTCATCGAAAAAAGTTCTTCAAAATTAAATATGTATTCTGAAATATGACTTTTCGGACAGAAGGTACTGACTTGATAGATATTCTATATGATCAATAAATTCAAACAGTATTGAACGTTGTACTAAAGTCAACTAGAGCCAAAATGAATTTCTATTAGCTTGAAATGCTCTTTCTATTTTATTGCTAGGTAATATTTTTGTAACTCTTACTAGCAATAACACTGATCTGAAAAAGTAACTTCAATGTTCCCAAAGAAATTTTCATGAATGTATAAGTATAGGAACTATTATAAATACAAACTGAAATCTTCGATATGTAAATCTCGTTGTATTTTGTTCGATAACTCTGCTTGTTTTGTTTGTTTTTTTTTTCTTAGCTAAAGAAATAATTGTTATTTGTTTTTTTGTTGAAAGGTTCAAAAATATATTCATATCAAACAAAATAGTGAATTAAAAGCAATACCACGTACACAAGTGACAAAAGAAAATTCTCCTATTGATTATTATAAAATTCCATTAGAAAATAATGAAATAATTTTTATTGATTCAATGTCAACTTATGAACGTTTACTTGATCGATTATTTAAAAATAATAATGAAGAAATATTTATTGGATTTGATTGTAGGTTTTATAACGAATAATTAAGTTTAATCTTTGTTTCTTTTTTTTTTGAAAAAAAATCAAATATTTCTCATTACTTTCTTTGATGAAAATTAAAGATCATCATTAAACTTATACATATTTATTTTCAGGTGAATGGAAACCATTATTTAATTATACATCAACATCAAAACAACGTATAAGTGTCATGCAAATAGCATTACCAAATGAAATATTTCTACTTGATTTACTTCATTTTTTTCATACATGTGATCCCGAAACAATACAACAACGTTTAGCACATCGATTATTTGATGATGATCAAGTAACATTACTTTGTATGTTATTATTAGTATTTGAGAAAAAAAATTCAAACTTTACGAATAATAAACTAAAAAAAAATCTTCTTTTTCTTTTGTCTAGGTTATGGTTTTAAAACTGATGCTGCTATGCTTAGTGCTTCATATCCTATATTTAATCGAGCACTTCTTTCAGGAAAAACTTTACTTGATTTATCTCTTGTACAACATGAAGTAAATAGTTCCATAGTTATTTGTTGTTTAGTTTTCTTGTCTTATATTAGTTGCTTGCTGCTAAACGTGATATATTTCCATATGCTACAACAAATAATAATATATCATCAAAAGATAAAGGTCTTAGTGAATTTGTTCGTTTATGTTTTGGTAAACCATTGAATAAATCTGAACAATGTTCAAATTGGGAACGACGACCATTAAGAAATGCTCAAATGTTGTATGCTGGTAAAATTTTCTTGATTAAATAAATATTAATACTTTTTTCTTTTTAATTTATTTAAGCAAATGATGCATATTGTCTAGTTGAAATTTATAAATTTCTTTCGAATAATCTTCAATCGACTGATTATTTAAATTCATTTCGTGGTAAAAAACCCAAAAAACTTGATTCAACTATAGCTCGTGAAATTGATGAAAATTTTCAAGATACACCTAATAATAATAATAATAATATTAATCAATCTCAAATATCAAATGATGTTAATCATGTACGTATATGATAAGAAAAAAAAAGAAGAGAAGTCAAAGTCTTTTTGATCTGTTTTATATAGTTTCTTATTTTTTTATTTTAAAGACTTCAAATGAAATTATACGTCCTTATCAAATCAAATTTGTTGTTGATAATATGTTACACGGTTTAGGAAAAGAATTACGTGTAACTGGCTGTGATACAGTGATTTTAGGCGATGATGATCCACATACAGATGCTATTAGAGTAAGTAAAAAAAAATTAAATTAAAAAAAATTCCTATAATTTATTATAATAGTATGCTCGAGCAGAAAATCGAATTATTTTATCACGTGGTGCACCATATAATCTCGTAAGTTTAAAAGTTAAATACACAATCGTACAAATAGAATATTTCACTCAAAGATTGAAATTTCATAAATTAGTATTTAGTTGTTTCAGTTTAGTTATACGAAAAATATCTTGTTTAATCTTAGGAGAAAACTTTGTCAAGTAATAAATTACTTTTGTGATAGGTTTTCTCTTATTAAGTGAGTTCTATTAACAAGAGAAGGTCCTACTGACCAATGGCACTGATATTCTTGCTGATTAATAGGCGCTAACGGGACTAGTCGCAGTCTATAAGAGTTCATCCATTTTGCATTGCCCTTTCCAAGAATGTTTCATCCAGATCTTATCTTCTGCAGAAGTGAACATTTATCTTTCGGAGCACAGACATATAATAAGTACGTGACACAACAACCCACCTTCGAGAGACAATACTTTTTCTAGTGTGAAGGCCAAGTGAGCAACGTGTTTCCGGAAGAGAAAAATTTGAATAAAACAGTGCCAAGAGAATCAATTCGATCTTTGAAGATGCACTGTTTCTTCTATGAAAAATATTGCATTACGGAATTCAGCCCATAGATATATCTGACGGACAGTAGATTGTTCTGATAATTTCAGGCAAAACGAATGTGTTATTCTTGAGATATCGAATTTTAAAACATTGAACTTTATTTATAACAAATGGTTGTTTTTGGATATTCAATATTTCAAGAAGAACACATGGTTTTAGGCAGAAACTTACCTATGAGTGAAATTCGGTTAGTTGATTTGTTCACGTATGCTCTGCCATAGGTAAACAACTCAGTAGAATTATAGTAACTTAACAAAAACAACACATGAGAATGAACTCTTATAGGCTACTAGTAGTCTTGTTGGAAGTAACTTATGGATAAAATATTAGTTCGACTGTCGAGTGAGTCACACTTGAGAATCTTCTTTCGTGAGACGAAAGAACTGTTTTTTCTTCTTGAATCATGTGAGATCTTTTTACAACAAAATGCCACATTTTTCTTTACAGTTATCTTGCAAATCGAATTCCACACTAATGAAGTTCTTAATGAAATTATATAGTTTTATATGAAAGTGTCACACTTTCTAGAATTCGCAATCCTCTGATACCATTATTGAAAATTCTGACATGAGAAAATGTAAAATTTATCCTTATATTTATATCGTAGAATAAACGATACTATTATAGAAAAGCTGATACCTATATTGTATTAGTACCGTTGAGAGCTTTACTTAGACAAAAACTCGAAATTCAATTTTAAAAGTTATCTGAACGAGATTATAATATTTAATAGAAAGACTTATTAAAAAAAGCCATAATTCAATCAGAAAAACCTATAGACATTAGTCTTTTTTATGTATTTTCTCTAGTTTCAATATGATGAGGTTACGTTTATCTCAAAATTGATTTATCACTTGATGAAATTCCCTCGTTAGACATATGAAACAAACTCCTTAGGAAAGTTCAACATTGCAAAAAAGGAAATAGTCTTTGAGATAATATCATAGTGAAACATCATTTCCTATTTCACATATCAATTTAGAAAATTTTCTATTACTTTCTAATAGATATAAATAGTATTCCTAGTAACATTTTATATTGTTTCTATTAGCTACGATCTCATACTGTTGAAGGTCGTTGTTGGCAACCACCATTAAATGTTCCAGCAAAAGAACAACGTGCTGCTGTTCTTAAACATTTCAATGTAAAAATATTACCAGAAGATATATTTAGTCGGTGCACAGTAAGATCTCTATTTTTTTTCTCGTATTAAATTTTGATTATTATTATTTTTGTCTATAGTTATGTAATGGTGGTGATTTTGCTATAGTTGATGGTCGCGATATGCGTTTACTTTGGTGTAAAATAAATAATTATTTAATAAAAGATCTTGAACCTGATCTTATTAATTATAAACCAGAAATGATTGATATTGATCGTATGACACTATATAATGAAAATGTTCCATTAGTTTTAACAGGTTTAACATTAAAAAATTATCGTTCATATGAAGAATTTTATGTATGTCGTCAATGTGGAAGAGTCTATTGGCAAGGAACACATTGGCGACGACGACTTAATCGAAATATATCATTAACAGAAAATGAATCTACACAAGACAATGATGATGATAATAAAAATAACGATGATGATGATGATGATGATGGTATTGTTTTTTATGATGCTGAAAGTACTATGTGATACTCTCTTGTTTTTTTTTTACCTTTATTATTTGTAATGTTTTTTTATTTCTTTATTCGTGAAATTTGCTTTTTGTATTTTTTTTTTCTTTGTTTTGAAGATTAAACTATGAGAGTACGTTTACATAAAGGTAATAATAATCTTATTCCAAAATGGAAAAAACATGGAGCAAGTTCATCAAATCCATCTCGAACTAAACATCGAGATGCTGCAAAACTTCAACTTTTATCATCATTATCAACATCACAAACATCTTCAATTGATATTAAACAACCATCAAAAACAACGCATGATATTGATCGAATTTCTCAATATTCAAAAACAACTTTAGGAACAACAGCAACAAATAAATCAATGATTCAAGTTAATGCACGAGTTATTCAAGTAAACATAGATTCAGTTTTTTTTTTCTAAAGAGAAACATTTAGATATATCTAAATTAATATATATTTATGTATTACAATCGATTATTATATCTTATTTCTTTAAAATTCTACTAATCGTATATGAACTGAGAACTTTTACGTTTGTCGCATAGTTAACTGTTCATTAAAACAACATAAAGCATCAATAAGATTTCTATATAGTTACAATTCAGCTTTGTTTATAAGTGTAAACATAAAAGTTTACGTGAAGAGTTATGCATAAGCAAGAAGGAAATATTTGAATTTTGATTCTTGGTAGATACTTAATAAAAACTACAGGTATGTAGGAAAGGATCGGAACAAGAGAAATGCATGATGGAATTCACAAGTCAACTCCACTCTGCAGTAGAAAGTAGAGATGTGACGAGAAAAATGTAGGTTATGGAAAAGTTTATCATGCAAATCTCTAATAAAAAGAGATGAATAACAAAGTGAAACATTTCTATTTGATTAAAAATTCGATATTATAGAAGTTTTCTTCAATTCGAAAAATCTCATTAGCATTTCCTAATACGGATATTTAATCGAGAAAACTTCTTCGAATTAGAGTGCATATTTCTAGTTGCAACTATTTTCTGGACAATAATCTGAACCGAAAAGATTTGCTCTTGTTTATATATGCTTTGCCTTCAAGTTTTGAAGTAATATGTTTTGCTTTGATCATAGTACAAAACAATTAAAAAGTGGTGAAGTTTTCTGATATTGTCACGCCTATTTTACTGAAGAATCATCCTTTGAATTTCTATTCATTGAATTGATAATCTGAAATTTTCATTTCAAAATTTTTTTTTCATCATTTATGTTTTATATAACGAACAAAACAATTAAATTGTATTGAATTAAAAAAAAAGCACTCACATTATGCTGTTAGACAAGAGTTTTCCCATTACAAAACTATTTTATCCTATTTAATTTACGTCGTCCTTTATTAAAAATTCATTTTGTAACTTAATTTGTTTATCTATATTATTTGAATAATAAAAAAAAATTGTTCTTTATGTTAGACATTATTGGAACGTCTGCCAGCTAAAAATGATCAACAACAAATGGTCATATGGTTAGATGGTATTTGTCGAGCTTATTGTGCTTTTCATCGTTCAGATTCCGTGACATGTCTTAATTATATTTTAAAATTATTTGAAATATGTATTAATGAATGTCTTCTATCTGTTTACCAACGCGTACAAAAAAAAGCTACAAATGTTCTTAAAGTATATTTCTTTGTTATTTTTTTGATAAAAAGATGAATCTCTTATTAAATTTAGACAATCATAAAAACAATATTAAAACCACAAATCGATACATTACGTACAAATCCATTATTAAAACAATTATTTCAATTAGTTGAACATGGTTTAACATATGCCTATACATTATCATGGAATTATATACTTCATTTACTTGGTGATATGTTTGATTTAATGGGCAAAGAGAATTTTGAACTTTGTCAAAATGTAAACAGATAAATAACAAAAAATTTTCTTCTTTCTATTATTTTTCTTTTGTCTTTAGTGTTTATCATCATTATCTGGTTTACGTTCAACAAAAGATTTTTCATTTTTAGATGAATTAGATTCAACAGTTGGTAAAGCAATTCGTGTATTTGGACCAAAAAATATTTTACAAGTAATTCCATTACATTTAACTGGTACAATAAATGATGTTCAATTAGAACAATCATGGTTATTACCATTATTACGTGATAATATAACACATACTGAATTAAATCATTTTGTTGCTTATTTTTTACCAATTGCATTTCAATTGCAAACAACTGGTTAGTTTTACTTCGACGAATATTAAAGAGTAGTAGTCGAGATATTTTAGTTCCTTATAAAAGGTTATAGAAACTTTCTATATGTTTTGATAGTAAAAATAATACTCGGGATATTCTCTGTGTTCTAATGTCTAGTTGTCTATGGATTAGAATATTAAAAAAAAGTAATATCAGTAGAATGACAATGAAATACCGAAACAAATTCATCAAGTCTTTATTTCATTAAATGTTTAAAATAAGCGTCCGGGTTATTTACAGTCTATTGTATTGAAATCATTTTGATTACCTAGTAAGTCGAATAACCAAAAATCATATGGTGACAGATTTCAATGATTGATACACCAATATCTTCTGTGAACCTTCATTCCATATATTTGATTTCTTTATTTGTTTGAAAGAGCATGATATAGTTGTTTTTTTAAATTCTTCCTTTTAAAGGGATAAAAGTTCAATGACGCGAAAATAGTGCACTCATTATAAAAGTACTCTTTTATCTAATAGTAACAAGCCTTAATTCAAAAAAGAACCTCTGCCATGTCCTTCATATTGACATACTCTCTGAAACAAAAAAGACTAATTATATACAATAGCGACCTACACAGATATTATGGTTTATGTGATCAAAATAGTGAAAAAACAAAACTCCCGTTTTTTTGTGAAAGAGGTATATTTTTCAAGCAGAAAATAATAGAAATCGTTGAAAAAAAAACGAAGTACTAAATAAAAAATCATGCCGTTTATGAAAGATCAGATCACAAATTATCTTTTCATACATTTATCTCAATTCTCATTGTGTAACAAAAAGTTGACTTTTTTTGAAAGGGATGGCTTTATAAACAGTTATGGATTAAAAAAAGAGAACACATGTCGAATACAATATGTAATCTTATATATATGATCAAATATCATAGATATGTAGAACATTGATTTTTACTGTTAGATCATATAGAGAAAAGGTTTCTTTAAGCTTTTTATAAGGAATTAAAATACTTCGGCTATTACTTTTGGTATTCTCTAAGTAATATTGGCTTATTTTATGATTATTTCTTTTTTTTTTCGTAGCGGAAAATCTTCGCGATAAAGGTGATGTAATAAATTCAACAGTATTATTTACATTACAAGATCAAATATGGTCATTATTTTCTGGTTATTGTTCATATGCAACTGATATTTCAACAAGTTTAAAATTAATTGCAAAAGGTATTGGTACATCATTAACAAAACGACCAGATTTAAGATTACATTTATTGGCTGGTTTAAGAAATCTTATATCAAAAACTGATAATGGTAAAATAATAATTTTTTTTTATTTAACAAAATTCATATATAATAAAAAAACAAATTTTTTTTTCGTTGTTAATTAGAAAGTGATCGACAAGAAGTTGGAAAATATGCAAAAAATTATTTACCACTTTTATTTAATTTATATACAACTGAAAAATGGAATGTTTCACGTGATCCAGTACGACAAAGTGTATACGAAACAATAAAACGTTATTTAACAATAACTGATCATGCATTATGTCAAACATTTTTTGATAAATCTTTAGAAAAAATACAAAATACTGAAATTGATCAAATAACATTGTATGATATAGAATTTAACAAAATATTGACTTTTTTTTTTTCTTATTTATTTATTTTTTTAAAGGACTTATTTACTTGATATTGTTTTGGCTTTAGTAACATATTTGGATGAAAAACGTTTAAAATTATTAGAAGATAAAATAAAACAATTATTTACAATGGTATTTGAGGAAAAGAAAGTATATATATAAATAAAATATTTTGGACTATTTAGAAAGATGGAAGTGTGAAAAGAAGTGTTATGAAAAAATCATATCGAATTTTAGAAGAATTATGTTTACGTTCGACTACAACAATTCAAAAATTTATTGATGAACGCTGTTCAGATTTATTACTTGAACATCTTCTTAATTCATTAACAAAATCACAATCAGCTTTGAAAGGAGTTCGTATTTTTTATTGAACAACAAAAAAAAGACAAAGATTAGTATTTATTTTTTTTATTTTAGCCACAACTTCGTTCTATTTCAAATTTACTTGACATGCCAAATAATCAAACAATTACAAAGTTTAAACAAATTGTTCCACAAGTATATACAGAATATTCCTAAAGTCATCGAACAAAAAAGAAAACCATTTGAACACGTCGATCGTGTTTTAACCAAATCAGCTAATTATTTTTCTGGTGATAGAGGAAAGATCCAAGTTCTTTTATTTTGATCAGGAAAGTTTACATAATTTACTCGGAATCGATGAGAAGGCATTAGATTTTAAAATCTTTATATCTTCAAGAGACTACATTTAAAGGCTCTAAAATTTTCTATATACGCTACTATAATGACGAAAGTTTCTCAACTGATTAATCGCTTGGGAATTTGAACTGTATGCATCATGTAACTTCTCATGAATTATGAATACTCTGAAAATATTTCAGGTTTTTAGATTATTGCTACTGACATGCTACATTTTTTGCAAATCAATGCCATGGTCTTCTTAGGAAAATTTATTTTCAAATTTTGACTTGAAACTTTACACAGAGATAGATTTCAACGAGCATAGTTTAATATGCAAGTTTTAAGTGTTTTGATTTGCTCATTTTCTGACATAAGAACATCAAATCTGTTCGGATATATGAGCAATGTAACTGACAAGCTTTTATCATAGCTGTAACTTAGCATAGGAATAATGAAATTATCTGAAACTTTCATAATAAACTATTCTTGTTAAGATTATTGTCTATTCAAAGTTTCACATCAAAAGTTGAAAATGAGTTTTTCTGAGAAGGACCACGGGCATTGACTTAAAGCATACAAGCTCTTCTCAGGAGTTATAGGTCATTAGGATCTATATGATTCACAGAGTCTCGAGGCAAAAATGACTTATAAGTCGGGAAATCTTCCTCGTAAGTGAGAGCTTTGTGTAGTTTAAATTTGAGGGAAGAATTCGATAATAAAATTTTATTGAAAACGTAAGATCCCATTAAAGCAAGCAGCGAAATCTGGCTTCTATGATTTTCTGAATCCTAATAGATTTTCCTAGAACTTTCTTTTTACCGTTTCAGACTTCCTCGTTGCTTTCGGATTGTTTTCAGTTAGAATTCGTAAAAACCCATTTTGTTGCCCTTCAAATCTTATGGTAGTAAATTTAGTAGAAATTTAATAGTTTAGTGAACGCGTTACGAAGACATGAGCCTTCGGAAATGGTTCTAATGTAGTGGTCGCCTAGTAATTGAGCAAAGTATAAACTCAAAATTCTTTAATCATTTGTTAGATTTTCTCATTAACATTCCTTTGGATCAAATAAAAAGCTAATTTTTGTATTAAATTATTTTTTTATGTAAATTTAATTAAACTTTATAAGACAATATTTTTCAAGAAAATTTCTATTATTAATGAGAAACATTTGTGAAGAAACTTTATCTTAAGAAATAATTATTTGAATAATTGTGTTTATTTAGGCTATTCAATGTCTTCATGAAATTAATAAACGAACACGAAATGAGGCTTATTTAATTATAATTAAATGTGCACGTTTTTGGACATCCATTAGTGAACAATCATTTATTGGTTAAGTTGTTTAATATAAATTTAAAATTTATTTACATAGATTTATTTGTTTGTTTTTAGATTCATTGACAAGTTTTTTTCATTTTCTTATGGCTGGTCTTGTTAGTCCACATTCACCATCAATGTTATCAGCAACAGTACTTGCTATAAGTCGTTTATGTCTTGAATTTCGAGAAAATTTAGCTGGATCTATTGTTGATGAACTTTTATCAACATTAATACTTGTTCTTCAATCAAAAGAAAGACAAATTGTTCAAGCAGCTTTAAGTTTTTGTCGTGTTTTACTTATTATTCTTAATGAAACTGTTTTGTCAAAATATATTGAACAATTGGTAAATTATTTAATTAATAGGATTTGCTTTTTTTTTTCTTTTGTTGCTAAATTTTTATTTTTGTTTTTAAGGCTCGTTCATTAACAATAATGCGTGATGAAAATAATTTTACATTTCGTCCAAAACTTAAATTAATCTTACAAAAACTAGTGAAAATATTTGGGTTTGTATTAAAATATTCTTCTAATAAAAATAGAAATTTTTTTATACCGTGATTAAATAGTTTAAAAAGAAGTTATTAGCGCAATTGCTACGAGATTAATATTTAAAACACGATGAAACTAATCACAAGGAGATCATTTTATTCCATCTATCTTGGAATACATTTTCTCCAAAAAAAGCGCAATAAGGAAGTAATTCATATATTAGAACGAGACATTATTCATATATGGTTTGCGATCGCATAGCGATTGTCTTGTCTATTCGTGTAATAGAATTAAAACTACGAATAGTTAAAGTGATTCGTTGTATGCCTCCGTATAAAAATTTTACCAGACAATTTCATTAGAGACAAGTGTAGTATCGTATTAGTTATTTTCATTAAAAAAACTGAATTAGACCCTGAAGGAGTTTATCTTGTAATAGTTATGTTGATTTGCAGTGTAGTCACATATTCAAGTGACTGCTGATATTAACAAACTGAAATACAATGCTTATCATCATTATTAATGATTCAATATTTTTTGTATAGTTAACTATTTGAGATGTCTTTGAGTTGTTTCATTACTATTCAATCGATCATGACTTCAAAATCTCATTTATTAGCTATATTAGTTCATGATTATCGTTTTTGAACATAAGACTATACGAGTTATAAAGTCCTATCATATTAATCTAATTTTCTAAAGTTACCTTCTATCAGCAGAACACGAGTTTTCTTCAACTATTTTGCTGCAGAAAAAAATGCCTATGAACAAACCCTTCAGAAGAAAGGATTTAATCTTGTGTGGATTAAAAATCTTACTTCCGCTGCATTGAAATTTATTATCTTGAAAATTCAAATCGTTTTTTTTTTCAGGTTCGATGCATTACGTGATCTCTTTTCAGCTAGTTTTCATGCTCAATTATCTTATATAAATAAAATGCATGCTCGTAAAGAACGACGTCGTAAAGGTACATCAACAATTGGCCAAAGTGTTATAACAAAAGTAGATAATGAAGATGAATATGTTGATGATAATGAAACAACATTTACTGTTCGACCAAAACTAACTATTGATCAATTACTTGATGATTCTGATGATGATGATGAACAGAATCTTGGAAGAATAGATGATGAACGAACAATTGCTACAGCACGAACAACAGCAAGTACAAAGCGACGACGACAACAATCAGCTTTATGGATAAAAGAATCTCAAGGTGATGATCCAATTGATTTAACTGAACCAACAGCAGCAAGAAGCATCTATGGTATATTTGATATTTAATTTTTTTTTTAATAATGTTTTTCTTTTAACATTTAGCAACAAAACCATTAACAACACGTGAAACTGAAACTATGAAACAAGCAATGAAAGTTAAACGACGTAATTCACGTTTTCGTACAGCACCTGATGGTCGTCTTGTAATTGATGTTGACGATGAAGAAAATCAACAACAACAACAATACGATGACGATGACGATGATGAAGATGATCTTAATCGTGAAGATTTAAAAGATTTAATGGAAACATTATCATTAGGTCAACGAACAAAAAATAAACGTAAACGTACTATTGGAGATGATGATGAAGACGATGATGATGATTATCAAATTAATGATAAAAAAAGTCAAAGTGTTCATTCAAAATATCGAAGTAATTCAAAATTCTTTATTCGTTCAACTCTTATTTTTTTTCTTATATTAAGCCGGTGGTGGTGGTATTCATCGAACATTAAATCAATCATCTAAACAACAACACCAACAACAACGACCAGGAAATATGTATAAAGCTAAGGTATAGAATGAAATAATGATTTATTTATAATAATTTGTTTTTATTTTGAATAGCGTGGTACTGGTGGTGACCGAAAATTAGCTAATAAACATGATCCATATGCTTATATCAAACTTGATTTTAATGCTCTTAATAAAAGGTAATAATATTTTCTAAGTCTTTTTTTTTTATAAAATTTATTTTTGTAATAGAAAACGAGGCAAATTTAAAGGTCAATTTGAACAAATTGTTGGCGCTGCTAAACGAGGTGCAAATCGTGGTGCGAAATTAGGTGCAAAAGAGCGTTATCATAAGAAGAGTGTGAAACGTTTGAAAAACAAATAATTTTTTATAACTTGTTTGTTTTTCTTGTTTTTTTGTTACATCGTTGTTGTTTTGAAAACAAAAAAAAAAGAAAATCGTTATTATAGCATCAGAATATTTTGTTTTCCATACAATCCCTTTAAACATTGTCAAATGTATAATTCAGCAATCGTAAATGAAAACAAATCTATTGTTTACTTAGAATATACCAAAAGTAATGATGTTGACACTATTATATCATGCGGAAAGCTCAAGGAGAATTTCTCTTTATATATACACATTGATAACAGAAATAGTGCTTTGTATCTCTTCAGTTGATATGATAATAGTAAAATGTCGATGAAAGATATTCAACTTTGTATTAAATGGATATATATGTATATTTTTTTTTGTTATTACTATATTAAAATGTGCAGTGCATTTCCTATTTAGGAGAAAGTTATTCAAGGAAAGCGATGTTTTATTTTCGAAGATCAGAAATTGCAGACAAAACATAATCTGATAAATCTGTAATTGAAATCTATGAAACTATTGAATAAGTTCAATGTTTTTTTTAATAATGATACTTATATTATATATAAATGATTAATTTCAAGTGCAAATCGGTCTGAAGTATTATAAAAGACTGATGAATTAAGGAAGAAATAACGAGTGATTGAAAAATTTTTAGACACGACATTTGTTTATTTTTGAACCGCTAGAAAGTATTTGCGATAAGTCAAAAGCTATGAGTTAGGATGCTATTTACGAATATGAACTTAACAGTTTTGTTTGAGAGTGGTGAAATAATCTTTGAAAAGCTCAAACAACAAAATAATTTCGACGGAAAATTTTTGTATTTTCGCTGTTGTCATTCGAAACTAAAAGTTGGGATGTTTATTTGTATTAATTTTTCGTTTTTCCTAAATAATCATTTTTGAAAAATCGACAACTGTTCTGCGTTGAGCGAAGAGCTTGAAAAAAGATGTTTCTAGACTCGCTTGGGTCAAAGCTACAGCTTAGTTCAATATCACATTTTGTAGAGAAGTGCCTCCGGTCTACAAAACAATCGACACCGAGAATTGTGTCACATGTTTGAAGAGAAACTTATTGACTCATCGGAAATACTTTCTAGCACATCAAAAGTGAACAAACATCTTGCCTAAAAACTTTCCGATCGTCCGTTATATATCTAGTTTAAGTTATATTGAATAGTTTTATTCTCCTTACTGTAGTTATACCAAACATAAGATGTTGATATCATTCACTCTATACTGAAACATAGAGTTTTCATTTTGTTCTATTTGTTTTTTGTCCAAAAGTTTGATAAATTTTGAAAAGAATCCAGAAAACAGTTTTTTTTCACCGAACAATTTTTCAGGTTATTTATCACACGAAAATATGAGCGTGCAAAAGTTTCATTTCATTGATTCTCCGATATTACAAAATTTCTGAACAACCTTGAAAGTAAACGAAATGAAAACTAAATGGGTTTTTAGTGTCAGTGGTGCTCCATCCAACAATATCAAAATAAAAAATCTCTAAGGATTTTTGTATAAATAAAGCAAACTGAACAAAATTATCAAAAATAACGTAATCAANAAATAATCATTTTTGAAAAATCGACAACTGTTCTGCGTTGAGCGAAGAGCTTGAAAAAAGATGTTTCTAGACTCGCTTGGGTCAAAGCTACAGCTTAGTTCAATATCACATTTTGTAGAGAAGTGCCTCCGGTCTACAAAACAATCGCCACCGAGAATTGTGTCCCATGTTTGAAGAGAAACTTATTGACTCATCGGAAATACTTTCTAGCACATCAAAAGTGAACAAACATCTTACCTAAAAACTTTCCGATCGTCCGTTATATATCTAGTTTAAGTTATATTGAATAGTTTTATTCTCCTTACCGTAGTTATACCAAACATAAGATGTTGATATCATTCACTCTATACTGAAGCATAGAGTTTTCATTTTGTTCTATTTGTTTTTTGTCCAAAAGTTTGATAAATTTTGAAAAGAATCCAGAAAACAGTTTTTTTCACCGAACAATTTTTCAGGTTATTCATCACACGAAAATATGAGCGTGCAAAAGTTTTATTTCATTGATTCTCCGATATTACAAAATTTCTGAACAACCTTGAAAGTAAACGAAATGAAAGCTAAATGGGTTTTTAGTGTCAGTGGTGCTCCATCCAACAATATCAAAATAAAAAATCTCTAAGGATTTTTGTATAAATAAAGCAAACTGAACAAAATTATCAAAAATAACGTAATCAAGCTGTAGAACACTGTTTAGACAATCACTATGTATATATATGTAAAGAAAAATTTCTTTCGAGATATCTATATGACATTAAGGTACCGGCGTCATTAGTTTTGATATATTCTAACGAAGGAACTTTCCCAGCGGTTATCTGTCGTTCGAACTCATATTGGACTTACAAGAAGATCTCGATAGGAGTAGAAAAACTATAAAAAAGTTCATCCTCATGGACCTTGGGAGTCAAGATATGGTTGTTGTATTGAATTTTCGACCAAGCTCAATCTTTGTGGCATATCTATGGAAAACGATTTTTTTTTTCGAAATTCAATAGTTCGATAAAGAAACATTCTTTTCAGCTCAAACTATCAAGATATTCTGAGCACCGTTAGTTCTATCTCTGAACAACACTTCTGACCGCAATCTAAAGATTCATGAGGACAAACTCTTTTAGGCTTTTTTAGTTTTATCGCGGCCTCTTGGTGAAATCAATCTGAGCTCAAACAGTCCGTTACTATTGCTATAATTCCCTCACAAGTATTCCTGATGACAAGGTCTCATTAAAAATTTTATTGACAAAAACGTCATTTGTTTAAAAAATACGTCCATATGCGTCTATTAAAAACACTAAATAATAAATCAATGTCACTGATTAATGAACATATATAAAAAGTTCAAAAAAAGAAAAAGAAAAAGAAAAAGAAAAACCGATAATTTTTTTGCTAATCAACTTCTTCTACTCGTGGACCAGAATATCCACCAGAACCACTATGACTTCCACTTCGATTATATTGCTGTTTATCAGAACCACTACCACCACCACCACCATGCATTTTTGTCATAATACGTTGACATTTTCTTTCTAATTCTGAATAATGATGTTCAATTTCTTCTTTATCAGCTAATTGATTTCTATCTAACCATTTTTGTACTTCATCACACGCATTTATAACTGTTGATTTATCAGAATCTGTTATAGCTGAACCATTATAATTTTCTACAGCTTGTTTACATGAATATAAATATGTTTCAAGACGATTACGTGCATTAACACGTTCACGTGCTTGTTCATCTTCTTCACGATATTTTTCTGCATCATTAACCATACGTTGAATTTCCGTTTGTGTTAAACGTCCTTTATCATTTTTAATTTCAATTCTTTTATTTCGTCCTGTACTTTTATCTTCAGCAGTTACATGAAGAATACCTGCAGCGAAAAAAAAACATTTCATTTTATCTGTATTTGTCTTCTTTCTGTCTCACTTACCATTTGCATCTAAATCAAATGTAACTTCAATTTGTGGTACACCACGTGGTGCTGGCGGAATGCCTTCAAGATCAAATTTACCCAATAGATGATTATCTCTTGTCAATGAACGTTCACCTTCATAAACCTGAATAGTAACTGCTGGCTAAAATTTAAAAAAAAAGAATTTAATTTATTGTTTTCTGATGTAAATCTCTTATTCTGACTTGATTATCTGCATATGTTGTAAATAATTGTGCTTTTTTATATGGAATACGTTGATTACGTTCAATTAGTTTTGTCATAATACCACCAGCTGTTTCAATACCCATTGATAATGGTGTCACATCAATAAGTAAAACATCTTTAATCATTTCACTTTGATCACCTAAAATTTACATATATATGAAAATAAATAAAGTTTTCTTTGTTTTTCTTTTAAATACCTGTAAGTATAGCAGCTTGTACAGCAGCACCATATGCAACAGCTTCATCAGGATTAATATTTTTATTTAAACTTTTACCATTAAAAAAATCTGATAATAATTGTTGCACTTTTGGTATACGTGTTGATCCACCAACTAAAACAACTTCTTCAATATCATGTTTTTGTAATTTAGCATCACGAAGTGCTTGTTCAACAGGACCTATTGTACTTCGAAACATATCCTAATATATATGTTTTAAAAAAATAATAATAAAATCTTTATATTTATTCTATTTTAATTACCATATTAAGTTCTTCAAAACGAGCACGACTTATTTGTGTATTAAAATCAATTCCATCAAAAAGTGAATCAATTTCAATTGAAGCTGTTGTTGATGATGATAATGTTCGTTTAGCACGTTCACATGCACTTCGTAAACGACGTACAGCTTTTGTATGTTTTGATATATCTTTACCATGTTTACGACGAAATTCTTCAACAAAATGTTGTACTAAACGATTATCGAAATCTTCACCACCTAAATGTGTATCTCCAGCTAAAATAAAAGAAATGCTTGTATTTCAAAAGAACCAAATTTTTTTTTGCTTCTTACCAGTAGCTTTTACTTCAAATACAGAACCACTACCAGCATCACTACCACTTATTGTTAAAACTGATACGTCAAATGTTCCACCACCAAGATCATAAATAAGAATATTTTGATCACGTTGAAGTCTTTTTTCAAGACCATATGCAAGTGCTGCAGCTGTTGGTTCATTTATTATACGAAGAACATCGAGACCAGCAATTGTACCTGCATCTTTTGTTGCCTTAAATATAATAGAATTTATTTTAAAATGAATAGAATTTAATATGTTTCTTTTTAATCAAGAAAAACTTTTATGTTAATTTATAGGATATATATTTATCTATGATGATTTTCTCGAAACGTCATTTTATTCCAGTTATGTTAACTTTTTTTCTTGGACTTAATTACAATGAATCAGCATATATTAGGAGATTCTTCAAAAAAGAAAAAACGAATGCTAGTTAGTTATCACATATACATATATGGACGGTTACATAGATAAGGGATGCTAATGATATT